AAGGCTTATTTATTGTTTTCCGTTTCTGTGAATATTGCAAATTAGTTTTTGGGTTAAGGTGAGGGTTGCAATTTTGCCAGCGCTCGGCCTAAGAAGATTTATACGATCTGAATAGTAATGAGTTTAAAGAGCTCAAGGTTTTACGGTATGCTCAGGTTATTGTTACTAAGCTACTTCTGGTCTCTCCCTAAACTGCAGCAAAAGCAATTAGACACGTCACCGCTGCTGGGATTTTCCATTGCGCCAATGGGGTTGTGAGTCGAACCAGGAACAAACCAAACAATAAAAAAATAAAATCCCAGCAGATTTGTTCTTAAGGACATCCATCATTTCCATGCAAATTTATACCATGTTCGTTACACAATTGCCACCGCTTTTACCTTTTGTTAATTTTATTTCTCTTTCCATTTGGTATCGCGAGAAAAAACAGAAGAGAAATAATACTCGCATACTCGGAATTTGCATTTACACATTCTGAACAATGTGAATATTCTCGTAATTGGCACGGTAATTAAATTATGAAATGTCAAAAGTCCCGAGTTTCCGCATCATTAAAAAAAGTAAACAATTTTCACTGCAACAAATCTCAAATAAAAATAAAATAATGTGTGCATTATTGTATTAACAATTCTTTGAGCATTTCCAACAGTAATGGTAGGAGCGCACGTAAATCTCTCGGTTGTGTATATATTTTCTTTTAATGCTAAATACTTCTGTCTTCGTTAATTAAAATTAATTAACTGATTAACTTACAAGTAACGTGTTATTCATGAAAATACCATTTTCTTATTGACATGTAAGTGATTATAGTCTTTGATAATTTCAATTTGTTTTTCACTTTTCCAAGGTCAAATATTTGTATCTTTAATTTAACTAGTAAACATATTATATAGCAAATAAACAGTACCCACGATTCTGTGTAATTAATTAGTTAAAATCAAGAAAATTATACATTTTATATCTATGGTATATGAAGATTCTTGTTTATAAAATCAATAATCTATGAATATTTTGGAATGGCCAAATTATTTCATTTATAGGAAAATGATCAAATGCGGTAACGGTGATTATATATTATCAATATTAATATATTTATTATCATATAACCATTTCCAATTATTCATAAATCGAACACTCACATATTATAATTCAATGGAATCAGTCATTTTTTATTTAACATTTTTGTATGTATGTTCTTCTAAAGTTGCTGTAATAAGAGCAGAAAAACCTATGATCAATAGCATTTGTTTTATTATTATTATTGAATAAAAATATTTAGTTTTATACGTGGCTCTTGTAATAAATAATTTTATTATTATACTTATCTTTATCGAAAATTCTATATTTTCCTTCTATAATTGTATTACATAAAATTAAAAATTCAAATTTTAAAATAATAATAACCCTTTGGTTACAATTGTGACTAATTATTATTAAAATAAACTCATAGATAATAAAGTATTTATTATATTTTTTTCTTAGATAATTTTGTACATTTCAATATACAGTGGAACCTCGCTTAACGGGCACCTCGCATAACGAGTGTTTCGCTTAATGAGCATAATAAATTGTAAGAAAAATGACTCGCAAAATGGAATGCATTATCCTATAACATTAGTTTATACAGGAAAAATTGTTTCACTATACTCTATACATAAAAGATATATTACTTTAATTTATGAAAGTTGTACTAAGTTACTCGCAATTATCCATGCAACTTGTACAATATTATACATTTATTTTATATAACAATAAGTTATGGATGTTAATGAAACAAAATGTCTGTTAAAAATGTGTAATGTTTCTCTACTTTTATGATTCTAGAGCGGATTTAATCATCAATTATAAACTGGTGAAAAGGTGATATATGGTGAAAGTGGAAATATGATTAACTTTCCTTGATCTTTGTTGTCGGGCATTCAACGTAGTCTTTTACTTAATAAAAATTTAGAAACAAATATGTTAACAAATTATGCTTAACAAGCATTTCGTTTAACGAGCAAAATAAATTGTAAGAAAAGTGACTCGCTTAACGAGCGACGTTTCGAATAACGAGTGACGAAGAGAGAAGTCTCAGATTTTGCGCCTGCTACATGATTTTCAAAACTTGTGTTCATATTTGCATGTTTCCGAATAAAAAGCGAAAAAACAAATATTTTTATGGGAAAATTTATTTCACTATACGAGTTTATATTTAAATATCAATTATATAATTTTAATTAGTAAAACATTATTTATTGCAATTGACTCCAAGTTAATTAAACAGATTATTATAAAGACAATTATAAATGAGTCTTATGTAACAATATGAAGCATCAGTACTTTATAAACATGTATATCTAATTATATAATCATCTATTTTCTTCATCAAAGTCGTGATTCTTGTTAAAAAAAAGTTGGAATAACTTCTAAATACCAAGACAGTCATGTAATCCTCGTTCTAACAAACGCACTTCAATATTCATTAACATTTCCTAATTGACCTTACACTATAGCAGCAATAAATGCTACTTAATAATAGAAACTTTTAATTGAAATCTGATTTATCAGATCGAAACTGAAATAAAATAAAAAGGAACTATATCCGTTTGTGTATTGATAAATAAACGAATCAATACACTTATTTATATGTGCGGATTGTGAGGCGTGTGTATGTTTTTTTTTTACGAATTCGGTTTAACATTGACAATATATTTATCAATGTTAAGGTCTGATGTGGCCGTCGGGCATGCGATTGCCGTTGATAATTGGTGTTGAACGCTTTTATAAGAAAGGCGCGTCTTACAAAGCTACCTTGATGAATGATAATACTTAATAATAATAATGTCTATATAACCTAGATTTCCTTTCTAAAATATGTACGTTCCTACGGAGTGAAACACACAAATCGCACGAAACATCGCAATATTTATCAACGGACGTGCAATAATGGTCACTTTGCTTTAGCAACCAAGAGGTAAACAATAACAAAAATGGAAAATTTTAGAAAAAAAAAGTGCAATTAGTCTGATTAGTATTCCACGCATCAGCAGAATTAGCCGAGACGATGGTTAAAACCAATAATTAATTATATATTTTGAAAACAACACTGTATTTCCTATCCGCCTACTATTTACACTCTTATACAAGTACAAACACATACACACACACCTTCGTGCCGATATTCAAGAAAAAATATGCACGTGCAGTTTATTTATTAAATTTAGAACATCCTTTTATCACAGTATCCTGAGTTATTCAGAGCCTATCGACGTGACAAACAGCCGAGTCCTTGAGCTAAGTACAAGAAGCGTGACCTTAGTTAGTAAGCTTTCCATCCGGTGTAATTTACCAGTTGCAAGGATTAGAGAACAACGCGAAATACGCAAAAACTCACCCAATATATTAGGATTGTTTTTTTTTCTTTCTTTTTGTGAAAAAACGACAATTTATGTGATTCGTGGAACGAAGGACGTAAAATTCGTGGGGGTAAAATGTTGGCGTTAAATGATCAAATATTAGACTAATTTCAACGTAAGAGTGTTCATAATGTAGAAAGAAATATTTGTAATAAATGCCGCTAAAATAAACAATTTGAATTAATTTGATTTCTAGAAATTTATTAACATTGGATTATATTTCTCGATCGATTGAAATACAGCATATATAATTATGTTTCTTTTTCTATTGCAAATTTATGGATATGTTAATAATTATATGTACATAGAAGAACCGTTTTATTTAATAAATGAGTAAAGTAATTATTGCTGTTTTTTTTTTCATAAATTTTATTTTATTTTTTATTTGTAAATTTTTATTGGCCCTAATATTTTTGTCTACTTTTTTTTAATACTTAAAATCTTTAAGTTTTCATATCAAGAACATTCCAATATATTAAATATGATATTAAATTACATTTTATATATAGGTGGCGGCCAGACTTTCGCAGTAAAGGCCATAAGTTTTTGGAATAAAAAAATCTGAATCATAATAAGGTGTATTTACAAGATTACGTTACAAATATTACGTTCCAAAACATTAAGTGAAATGAAAAAACTTGGTAAATTAGAACAAAATAATAAAATAAGAAATAAATAAAACTACGCTAAACATGACCTTTTTTTATCACTTTACAAGAACTTTTATGTTGAAAATAAACTGTTGTGTACTAGTAAAAAAAATTATTAAATAGTAATTATTGAAGAAAAACCTGGATAAAACTATGTGCGGATATTTCACGAAGAATTCATTTAATATGCCATGTGGAAATCAATTTTACTATATTTATCAAGTTTTAAGAATTGGCTATCCATAAATCATTAAAAAATTCTGTTTTAAAGATAATGTTGCAAATGAATACTTAAAATCTCTTGTCCAAGAAAATCTACGATAATTCTTAAAGATAACTTAACTTAAGCAACAGGTAATGAGGACAAGGCCCAAACATTTGCTGAATATTTCGCAAATACATCAGAAAGGACACCTAAAAACACAGATGTAGAAATTGAATAATTTTTTGGGGCACCATTCCAGATGTCGCTTCTAATTAACCCAATAATTTCAAATGACATTGGGTGTCTTTGATGCCAAGAATTAAAACCCAAATAATACCTACAGGATCTGCTTACACTAATTAATGTTTCGAACAAAATAATCATATTGTTAACAATTATTGTGAACGAAATGTATATAATTCGATGTTTTACAATTAAATAGAAAAGCGCATACATAATAAATCTAAAAACACCTGTTTTATCGAAGGACCAAGTTGTGGGTGAATAATAACATAAACTATATACGACCAACTCTAACGTATATTCAACAATAATAATTCTGTTCAACTCTCAACTTATATTCTACAATAATAATTATGTTCAACTCTCAACTTATATTCTACAATAATAATTATGTTCAACTCTCAACTTATATTCTACGATAATAATTCTGTTCAACTCTCAACTTATATTCTAATAATAATAATTCCATTCAACTCTCAACTTATATTCTAATAATAATTATGTTCAACTCTCAACTTCATTGAAATATTCTTCGTATTCTTGATCTTCTGGATCGAAAGTGGGTTTTTCTTTCATTAAAGCTTTGCTCACGTGCGACCTCTTTCTACGCCACTTCTGCTTCTTCATATTCTCCTTAATCTCTTCTTCAGCCGTTTTCTGCTGATAATCGCAATCCATATTGAAATTAGCATCTTCACAATGGGGAGCTTCGGCTTCTTCGTTGTCGTAGTTCTCGTTCAATTCTCCAGACGCATAATCTATAGGCTCAAATGGTTGATCAATTTCCAATTCATCATCCATGTCTGAAAACACAGGCTTCTCCTCATCTTCGACTGAATAATAATCATTATTAAAGACCATTTGCATTCGTTTATCGTGAGCGTTCGGATCGAAATCTCCTTCCAGATCATCGTCATTAAACGGAACATCATCATTTCCCGTGATTTCCTTCAGAGCCTTCAATTTCTCTTCAATCTCTAATCGCTTCATCTTTTTCAAATGCTCTAGCTCCTCCATTTTCTTTTGCTTCTCCATCAATTTCCTTTCCTTGATTTCAACCCTTTTAGTTTTCCTCCTGTCATCTTCACGTCTTACCGAATTATCAACAGTACGCGGATACCGTTTAATCT